CTTCTTTAAGTTAGGTATTTCAATATTAAAATGGAACATCTCTAGTGAAAGTAAGGTATTTCATTAACAAAATGGAACATCCCTTGTTTAAGTTAGGTATTTCAATATTAAAATGGAACATCTCTAGTGAAAGTAAGGTATTTCAGTATCTAAAATGGAACATCCCTTGTTTAAGTTAGGTATTTCAATATAAAAATGGAACATCTCTAGGCATTTCAGTATTGAAATGGAACATCCCTAGTTTAAGTCAGGTATTTCAATATGAAAATGGAACATCTCTCGTGAAACCAAGGTATTTCAATAATAAAATGGAACATCTCTCGTGAAAGTAAGGTATTTCAGTAATAAAATGAATCATCCCTTGTGAAAGTTAGGTATTTCAATATACATATCATCATGACCCAATCATTGACAAGGTTAACAAGTGTCTTTGATTATCTCCCCCCAATTCTTTAATACAACCTGTCTTGGACTGTCTGAAACATTGCTTTACTTGTCTGTGTGATGTTAATAAAGTAAATTCTGGATTTTTGTTCCCACTTATCAGTACTACAGGCTTTGGGACAACTTCAGAAATACTGACAATTTATTTTGCCGACCCTGGTTGACTTTTTAGGAAGACAATAGTCATATTAAAAGCACAGAGGTTGTGAAAAGGACACATGCAATGTGTGATAATTAAAACCTGATCAAAATCTGTAAGCTGTAGAAAATAAGGGAAAAAACCCACGTAAATCATACCACAACTATATTATATTTTACAACATGAAGTAAGTTCTTTAAAAGAAGAAAATTATGTTTATTTATGACAAATTTTTTTTAGTAAATAAAGTTACACAAATGATTGTTATTTCAGGCAAAAATCACACATCAGACGTGTTTACACGTTTCTATTTACACAATGAAAATGACAACATATACATAAATAATCCCAGTAGGCATAGTGAGGTAGAACTTGTACACAATACACACACATAATTATGTAACATAGCTGTACATAAAATCAATATCTTCTATTTTTTTTAGATTTAAGAAAATTTTACATTACATGTATCTACATTCTTTTTGTCAATCTTAAATTTGTAAATATTACACCATCAATTCAATAAAGACAAAAATATTTAGCAGACAATACAAAAAAAAAAAACTACTGTAATAAAACCTTTTTTTTACCAATCGTTTTACATATGTTTATCCTTCAAATGTATAAAGTTATATATCTGCTGCAACTAGAACTCCGCGAGTCGGATGTGTCACCTTGTGAACAGTATAGCTGTCACATAGGCATTTTCTTCTTAAATATAGGTTATTTATAAACACCACTAAAGGGCAATAACTCAAAAAATAAGAAGTGCAGAGTACCTGTTTTTGTGCACTGCACTTTTCTCAATGAGATCTATTCAAGTCTATAGCTTTCATAGTTTAGGTTAAATGGCCTGGATAAAAATAAAGTAATAAAATCAACAAAGAGCAATAACTCAAAAATCATTGGGTACCGGTTCTTGTGCACTGCACTTCTTCTTAATGAGATCTATCATCCTATGAAGTTTCAAGTCCATAGCTTTTATAGTATAGGAGAATTGGCCTGGACAAAATTAAAGTATGAAATTTGACAAAGGGCAATAACTCAAAAATTAAAAAGTGCAGAGTACCGGCTCTTGTGCACTGCACTTCGGGTAATTGAAAGAAGCATGCATACCAAGTTTGGAGTCAATCATACTTATAGTGACTGAGTTATGCTCCGGACAAGCCTTAGGGGACGGCGATGCAGCCAACGCCGCCACCAAAAAAGTAACCCCCTATATGTCGCCTTTTCAAGGTGACACAAAAATTATTGTTTGAATTTAAATGAGTGTAAATAACAGAGACATCTTAAGTTCCAACTCTTTCTAGAACTGACTCACTTATAACTCACTTATGATCATAAACACATGATTCAACAGAATAAGAAACTTTAAAAACAAATAAGATCATACAATTTATGCATCTTCCATTTCACGATAAAAATTTGTTCATTAAACAGATGGCGACATGCAATAATAAAACAAGCAATTATCATAGTATTGCAAGCAATCCATAAGTCCCCTACCGGTTAGAACCCCATCAACATTCTGAAGGGCCATTGGCCATTCACTAATGTTTCCATTTTTCTCTATTTTAAGTAAATTTGTTGGAAAAGTTCTTTAAAAGTGATCACAGGAAACAGTTTTTATGAACAGACAGACAGACGGACTGAAGGACACTCTAAAGTTAATACAGTTGACTCTCAATAAGTCAAACTCGCTTTACTCAAAATTCCGCGTTAGTCGAAGAATTTCTTAAGTCCCGTCAAATTTCCTTCTTTATCTTTGTATTTTAACTCCGCTTAGGTCAAATTTTGACTTACCGAGACTCCTGTTTAGTCGAAAAGAAAATTTGGACCCGTCAATTAAAGTCCAACATATTTTCATCTCAATTAGTCGAAGTGTGAAATCAGCCGACTGATCAAAGGTCGGAGACATCAAGGTGAGATGTTGTCACTCGTGATTAACACGTTTCATAGAAATTTTTAATTTACGGTCATCATGTATTATTAACACGTCGTGTAAATGGCTTTAATCCGTTTCAGCACTTAATTGGTTTTAACAGTTAGATAACTAAATTAAAATTTGATTACATTTCTTTAAGAAAGTTGACTCGTGCCAGTCTGACGGGTGTTAGTCAAATAACAGCCTAGGTATTGATGTGTGTTATCAACGTAAATGACATTTGTATAATTAATGTTCCGTCATTTTGCATACATTAATTTGTACTTCCGTTTCACGATAGTTGCTACTTTCGTTTTCGTCCGATGATCAATTAAATCAAATATAATTGTGTGTTTATGTTTCACAATTAATATACATGTATTAAATTTTGAATGATATATTTTTGTTTATTTATAATTCGTAGTTGTAAGTGATTTACCGTCATTTCAATGGTTAAATATTGCAGCATTGTCGCTAACAACAATAACAAACCTACTTCTTTGCACATTTTATCAGGCACATGTATATACATGTACTAATGTCAGCGTAATGGCGGCAGTTCCACGTTACTCGAATTCCGTTTCTCTCGAAGTAAAATGCCCAGTCCCTTGGATTTCGAGTTACCGAGAGTCGACTGTATTTGAAACATCCCTGTTACCAAAATATAACATTTTTAAAAGCAAAATTCTTAGAGGAGATATCTCTTGAATTAAAGATGCAATTTCATAAACATTTTCAGCATTTTTTGACTAATCACAAATATTGTGATATTTGCCATGTTTTAAGCCTATTTGTTGCCAAAGCAAGAGATATTTTTTCAAAATAGGAAGAACAGATAAAACTTGCATAATCTCAAGACTGCTATCTACCCATATGTCAAGTTTCATAAAAATATTTCCAGTACTTTTTGCGTTATCACTGGATCCAGTTTATGTGTAAAATTTGCCATATTTTCAGTCTATGTGTTGCCATAGCAACAAGAATTTTCAACATAGGAAGAAAAGAAAAAGACGTGCATAATCTTATGACTGCCATCTACCCATATGTCGAGTTTCATAAAAATATTTCCAGTACTTTTTGCGTTATCACTGCATCCAGTTTATGTGTAAAATTTGCCATATTTTCAGCCTATTTGTTGCCATAGCAACCAGAATTTTCAACATAGGCAGAAAAGGAAAAGACGTGCATAATCTTATGACTGCCATCTACCCATATGTCGAGTTTCATAAAAATATTTCCAGTACTTTTTGCGTTATCACTGGATCCAGTTTATGTGTAAAAATTGCCGTATTTTCAGCCTATTTGTTGCCATAGCAACCAGAATTTTCAAAATAGGAAGAAAAGAAAAAGACGTGCATAATCTTATGACTGCCATCTACCCATATGTCGAGTTTTATAAAAATATTTCCAGTACTTTTTGCGTTATCACTGGATCCAGTTTATATGTAAAATTTGCCATATTTCAGCCTATTTGTTGCCATAGCAACCAGAATTTTTAACATAGGAAGAAAATAAAAAGACGTGCATAATCTCCATACTGCCATCTATCCATATACCAAGTTTCATAAAAATATTTTCAGTACTTTTCAAGTTATCGCGGGATCCAGTTTTGTGGACGGACAGACTGACGGACAGACAGACAGACGGACGGACGTCCGGCCGAAATGGAATATAGGGCCATTTCTTTTGTTATTTTCTATTGTTTAATAGAGGGCCAATAACCCCTTACTCTTTTGTTACGGAATGAACGCTATTGTTCTCTTTTGTTCTGTTTACAGTTAGATGGCCCTCTATCCCTTTTTGGTAGTGCGGACGGACAGACGGACGGAGGGTAAACCTAAAGTCCCCTCCGGTAAACCAGTAGGGGACTAATAATCGATAAAGCAAACAAGGAGAGAAAAAAAATTGCTGACAGATGTAAACAAAAACAATCAATCCCACAGTATCACAAATAACAGTCTTGGCAAGTTATTTCAATAATAAAAAATGTACATGTTAATGATAATTTACATCTCCTTAACAAGAAAAAAAATGTAACATTAAATATTACAAAACAATCAAATGCGAACAGTATATATCAATGTGGCACAGGAATTGCGTAATAATCAGAGTAGACACCAATTTTCAAAAATAAAGTAACATTATTATAAATTTAATTGCTAAAAATTTTCTTCTTGATGAATCTTTCTAGATAAACATACCCTAAAATCACTCAATTTTAATAATGAATTTTTCCTGCCTTTAATTATTCAACATGTTAGTTTTGTCATAGGTGTAGTTTTGTCCCAGTATGAATCAATCTGTCCATTATGATTAATAGAAATTTTAACAAAGTAATGACAATTTAAGCTTAATTCAAAAATGATCTAAAAACTACTTTATCATCCTTTATATCCAATGCATATGTATAAAATTGTCATAATTTGATGCAGAGATGTAAGTATTCCAGAAACAATTAATAGACTAAGCAAAACTTACGTTTTAAAAAAACAATATCTACCCTCAACGTTTACAACCAAGTTCCTTTATGAAAAGAAATATCAGCCCTTATAGTGTAATACACAGATTTTCTTTACAACTACTAATTCAAAAGAAAACTTCAATTATAAAACTTCATTCAGGATCAAATTCTACAAAATTCGTATCAATCTGACCTATCAATTTATAACTATTGCAATAAACTTAGATTTCTGTTTCATGGGCAAAACAATTTAGCACCAAACTTTCAACATCATGCCTCGTAGTAATGATGATAGTGATGATGATGATGGTGTTCATGTACATGGTGATGCTCGTGTCTTTGAACTATGACCTTTTCACCGTCAAAGTCCAACGTGTGCTCCCTTTCGATCCATTCCGCAACTTGTTGCATAGCCATGTCATGGTCCTTTTCCCGATGCCGGTGTCGCCGATGGTAATGCGGGGATACTGTTTCCGGTATGTGCGGTGGTAGACTAACCGGCCGAAATTTCGATTGCTTCTGACTTGACAATAATAAATGAGGATTTCCTTTCATAGCTCGTATGTTACTAACACTCGAGTCCTGAGGATCAAATGACCTTGACCTTAAATGGTCTGGTTTGGTAGAAACCGATTGTTCAGTGCCTGCCTGACATTGTTCTGATTGAATTTTCACACTATCACACTTTTTGTCTGCCATTTCATGTGACCTTGAACGAAAATGTCTCGGAGCACAAAAACGCCCCCCAAATAATGCTGAACTGGATTTAACTGGCTGATATTTTGAGGTATTCACACGTGAGTTGTTTAATTCTGAATTTTTTCCTGAAGCTAATGCTGAAGTTGGCGTGTCCTGAAATTTAGAAGTGTTATTTTCGACACCTGCTAAATCAAGATAATAGTTTCTGCGGTCCTGACTTTCCTTTGGGGTGTCGTCTGCTACCATGTTATTTTGAGTTGCAGCAGCAGCAGCAGAAGCTAGAGACTTTACTTGCCTCTGTTTAATGTTATTATCTTTAGCTGAATTAGTTGTGCGCGAGGGTTTCAGGCGTCTTTTCTGGTGTTTATGTTCCTGTACACACCCATGGCAATCACTGTGATGCCGTCTGCAATAGACAAAAACTTTAAATTTCACTGAAAATCAAAAAAATATTTCATCATTTAATATATTTTAATCATTACTTTAAAACTCAAACAAATGTAACTGTTGTTTGAGAAATTTAATGTTACTTTACATTTCAGGAAACCTGTCCATCTTGGTGTCAATGGTATATATTAGGTTTATTGATTAGGATCAGTTTAAAGCTAGGTATATGTAAACATAAGTACATAATCTACACTTAGAACCTGACATACACCATTTATAAGCATTAGAAGAACATCAAATAAGACCCTGAATTCTGAACTTAGAATATAATACTTTGAACAAAGCAAATATTTTGAAGAAAATAATGATTAACTTTAATTTCTAACTAATTATTTGTTTTAGCTCAATTGTGTTGAAAGCTTGTAGCTTTTCTAAACTACACCCAAGTCTACTTCCACTGGTGTCATATGAGGAATCATATCTGTGTCAGCAGTAGGACTCAAACTGACGATTCCTAGGTTGACAGGCCAACACTTTAACCCCCTAGCCTAAGCTCCTCTATTTGATAAAACCTTACCAAAGCATAAGGCAGTAATGATAGGTCTTAGCTGTTAACGAAGAGCATGGCAAGTGGAAACATATATTGAGAGTCAATTTCAGTATCTTTTAAAAATTATAATTGAGAATTTCAAGATTGCCACCAGAATACATTTGTTACTAATAATTAGACTTGGGGAAAAAATAACCAATTTATTACCGAAGAGGTTTAATATGATTGCGCTCCATGTTCTCCTTCACCAGACTTGCCAGTTCTTTATGACGTTGTGTCGTCAGTCTTGACTTTGCTGTACTCTGTGACAACGCTTGTGCGTCGTTATTATTACACTTTGCTGGCATACTCTGACTTCCGACACCTACAAGGTTGTTCAACCGTGAAATGTCCTTAACCTTTGACCTCGGAGAGTCTTTTTGTTTAATATTGTCTTTATGCTTAGAATTGTCTTTTTTCTTTGGAGTATTTTTCGAATCCTTTTCCTCAGTGTCTTTTTCAGTGCCTGCAACTGCGTTACAAGCAATTTCACCAGGAACGAGTTCCTGTGACGATTCCTGACCGACACTCAGGCGGAGTTTTAATGTCTTTGTGCCATTATTTGGAATCTTTATTGAAGATCCGATGGCATCATATAATGCCTTCAATAGTCCAACAAGATCCTGTAAAAAAAAGGTTGATTTTTAACTAATCTCAAACTTAGAAAAATAATCTTTAACAATTTTATTTTATTTTCATTTTTTTTTATTTTTCCAAAAAATAATCAAAATTTTCATTATCAATCAATCAAATAAGGAAAATGAAATAAATTTATTCAAAATTAAGAAGGGTTTAAATAAATGTAGTCAGCTGTCAGTCTGTGACCAGAAATTCTCCTACATTTTGATACATGTATATAAAATATAAATCAAATCAATGTCTTTCAGAATATAATGCACCACAACAAATCCTCTACTATGGTCAAACAAATGAAAATGTTTTTGTTAGATTTTATGTCGCAACCAAAGGTCATATGGCAATTTTCCAGCTTTACTGGTAGAGTAAGACTTTAGGTGCCGCTTTACACATTATTTCAGGTATGAGGAGGCACCCAAGAAGACCCATAAAATTTCTGTAAGCTAGCTGGATAGTTTCCTCACATGAAACAAATTCTGAAGTCCCTAAAGGGTTTGAACCAAAATAAGTGAGGGGTTTAGTGATTTGTAGCCAGCAATCTTACCCCACCTCAGCTATTGAGGACCCCCAACAAATGAATTAACGGAAAATAGACAGCCTCGTAATATAGTATATCCTAACAATGATTTGTCCAATCTTTTTTCTCCAGGTACGTGTTTTGAAAATGGGAAGAAGTCTGACGATGTTGGTGGCATACTACAATTCTCTGAGAGTGTCTGCATACGAACAAATAAATTTCACTTGTTTAAAAATATATCCTTACTAAAGGTATGAAGCTGATATAAACAAATTCTAGTATCAGACCGGAATAAGTGAAATGAAATAATACACACTGTTTCACTAGCAGACAAATTACGTACTTTGTATGACAAAGTGTTTATTTTATAACCGGTTAATACTTGGTACAATTCAGGCAGAAAAAAGACTCCTAAAACACCCAGCCTTTTAAATCTAGAAAAATTAAAAGTTCATGCAGTGCTTGGTTTTTTTTTGTTTATTTTATCACTTAACGTGAAATTTCGTAATAACAGTTAAATACTGATTAACAGATTCGTAATTTTTTTATCCATTCATCAAAGTAGGTCCTTTACATACAATTGTACAAAAACAACAAAATTAATCAGTTTGCTTCTTGTTTTTGCAGCAATCAATTAAGATTGTGTTATCTCGGAGAAGTACGTAAACAAACTTTATAGAGATATGCGTCATGCCAACAAGAAAAACCCAAAGCTTTACTAGCTATAAATCTGAAAAAAGAAACGCCATAAAATTAATATTATCATTAATTTCTTATTTTTCTGGCTTTTTTGATATCTTTATACACATTCTTATTAATATATCTTAATGGAAATCAGTTGTACTTTTAGAGCCAGCAATATTCCCCCCCCCCCCCCCCCCCCCCCCCCCCCCCCCCCCCCCCCCCCCCCCCCCCCCAACACACACACTTCTCCATTTGTAATACCTTTAGGTAGTTATTACCACTCAACATTGAACAGTTTTATACCACACACTGTTTAATTTTTTTATTTTTTTGGTTGAGTTTTACTTTCTTAGAACTGACATTCACTACATTTGAGGTCAACAGTAAACAGTTATACATCACTTCTTATCTAAAACGTATGATTTGTTTTGATTTTCTGGATTAGGTTTCAGAGGTCAAATGGTGACATATTTTAAGTTTTAACAGGGTGGCGAAAGGTTTCATTACGCCTCCATGCATTGCATTATTTCTGGCACAAGGAGGCACTATAGTAGAACCATCCACTTTCGTAAATTAGCTGAAAAGCTTCCAACCAATGGATTTGAGCCTACAGAGGTAAGTAATTTGAAATTTGGGAAAGCCATTAACTTAAAGAATTTCAGGTGACCCCTCCATTCCCTAAAACAGTAAAAATTAATAATTTTTTTTATATTTTTTTTTCAATTGATGATTATTATTACCTCTTTTGTTATTTTACCATGCCCATCAAAATCATACAGAGTAAAGGACCACTCTTGTTTAGAATTCTCTCCTCCTCCAAAGTGCACACCACATTCAAATTCCTGAAAATATACAACATAATACAGGTCAGGTATACTGGTTCTTTATTTTTCAAATTCAAGGGACTTAACAATGTCTAGCATCATTTTATACATTATAACAGATTCTCCCCCTTACATATGAAAATGGGTGACTTTTATCAAGTCGTCAAAATTTTTGCTATTAACTTAAATCTGATCTACAACCTTTATAACATAATGTCCTCCTGTTACATTTCAAAGCATTTTTTTACCATTCTCCTTGCACATATGATGTGTGATATTTTCTGTTTGAGAAACCAACATTATTTCAAGGCTATTCATACAACTTCTGTAAAAATTCTCTACTTAACTATTTGCTATTACCAAACAAAATTTAATAGTCCTACAAAAAAATGTTGGCCTATAATAATATAATACAAGATGAAAATGCAAGTTATCTACTTATAAATCTGACAAGAAGGTTACATCATACAAGGGAGATAATATCCTATAATATTCTTATACACTGAAGTATTCCACAAGCTATAAGAGGACCTTTTCATCGTAAGGGTTTTACAACTGATACTATGACAGAAAAATGATCAAAACAAGGGAGATAATCATAACCAGGAGACGCCAAAATCTGCTGAACTGATGAAAGCTGCCAACCCGCTCACATATCACAGTATCAATTAACATTCTAACATTCTTCTTCATTCATTTTTCTCATCCTCTCAGTGATTAATGTAAAGTTTTCAAAGATTAATCTCAAGTTTTTGCCCCCTTTTTTTCTCTGCACAAATTGGTTTCTGTACAAAACACGATTTAAATATAATTGTTCAAGGAACTAAAGACAAAATATTGTACTTCTGAAACCAGTACAGGTGTAACAAAATATGACAATTTATATTCCCCCCCCTTAAAGCTGAAACCCATTTCAATAAAACAGCTGGTTTTTTACTTTATTTCCTTTATTTCCACTTTAACAATATTTTTTTTTTTTCAATTAAGAAATTTATTAATATATTTTTTTTTAAAATTTGCTTTCATGTGGTTTAGTTAGTTGTAACTGACAACATTTAAAATTTATTCACTTCCTTAAGAACACTGACTCATGCCAATAAAAAAAATCCCCCCCCAACCCCAACGGTAGCCTTCTTTAAAGTGGGACATTAACCAAATAGTCTAAATACCTTTGGCCTTGACTGGAATATCTTTAAAGCAATGGTAAAATATTTTACTGGAGATTTTGCCACCAAAATATGCCAACTTTACAGTACATCAAACAACGATTTATATAAATGAACCAGCCAAGTTTCTCTTTGATGATCAAGCCTAACCGCTTATCAGCATTCTGTGGATTGTGACTAAAATATGAATATCTATAGGTGTACTAGGTAAAGATCACTTGAAAATCTGTCAGTCAATTTATTCCACCTACTTTTTTCTTCACATATTTTAGTTACTCACAGAAATATCTGAATTTTTTCCTTTGATTATCAGTTTTTTACAGCTTCCATCAAAGAGAAAATAACTTTTGAACTTTTTTTTAAAATCTATAGATGAAGAAAAAAAAACCTAAAAAAAAAGAACTAGATTAGATTTTAAACATTTTAATACAAATATCTTTAGCCCTAAATGTCTGCAAAACCTTTCAGAAAATAATTTCTCAAAATTATTTTATTAAGTCATTTACATTCAAAAGAAATTAAAAATTGGAAAAAAAACTCTTTTCTTCGATAATGCAGTATCTATATTGAAATGGAGCGTAAGATATAAAATAATGCAGTAGATTACAAAGATTTTAACTTATCATTTAAAACAAAATAGAACAGATAAACCACACAAAAAACAACCATAAAAACTTATGAAATGATTCATACATTTTCAGTTATATCACAGTAAAATTTGTTTTTACCTTTTCTTTATAATAGTCAACAATAATAGTTATCATAGAACATTAGAAGTCTTTTTTTCCCTTGATAAAACAAATCTCCAAACATACAGGCCTTCAGATAAATTGATATTTTAAATCACAAAAACAAAATGTACATAAAAAAATTCTTATTTACAATAATTGATATGTTAAAGTATGTTTAAACCCAATTTTAAAACCCTTAAAATGATTCATCACAATACACTCTGGTATCACATCATGCCCATTCAGATTCCTAGACTCACATAAGCTTTTATGATACAATAAATGAAGAGATTTCAATATCAAGAATCATCAATATTATAAAAGCGATCAAAAGTTTTCAGACTATTGGTATAGTCAAACTTTATAGAAAAACTCTGGATTTATATATTTCTATAGTGATGAACCAGCCATATAGCTGGAAGCACTTTCTATAAGGGTGTACAAGGCCTATAAATGTTGGCAGTTACAATAGATATTAATCAGTTCCAAGATGTCAACCAGCCCTTTAACTTGTGGCAGTTTCTACAGATTTTTACCAGCCCTATTGCTTGTGGCAGTGGTAGTTTCTATAGGGATGCACCAGGCCTATAGCTGGTGCTAGTTTCTATAGGGATAAACCATCCCTATAACTGGTGGCAGATTCCATAATAAGGCATGAACCAGCCCTGTAACTGGTGGCAGTTTTTATAGACATGAACCAGCCCTATAACTGGTGGCAGTTTTTATAGACATGAACCAGCCCTATAACTGGTGGCAGTTTTTATAGACATGAAACAGCCCTATAACTGGTGGCAGTTTCTATAGAGGAATAACCAGCCCTAAAACTCAGGTGGTAGTTTCTGTACGGAACAACCAGCCCTTTAACATGTGAAAGTTTCTGTAGGGAACTACCAGCCCTATAACTGGTGGTAGTTTCTGAAGCTTTATCAATATATGGGTGGTGAAGGCAAGACATTAAAATAAACTAGCATTTCAGTGAATCTTAGGTTCAATTTAATACAAGTTTTATTGGTACATTTTTTGTTTTTCAGGAATACATTTCTAACCTCTAACTTAAGATAACAGGAGGGAAATATAGTGAATGTTTTACTCTTTCATCTTATCAAAGCATACATTCAATATCTTCTCATATTATTTTAGTTTGTTTGCTATTTCAACCTCAAGAAAAAATATGTGCTTCCAGTTTTCCTTCTCCAAAAACACATAGGTTTTCTCTTTTTCTTTATTCACAAATTAAAGGAATAGGAATGGATGGATTGATGTCTGTCTAATATAAATATTCATCATTTAAAAAGAGGAACCATGACAGTTTTCCTATTGACATCAACCCTATGAGAGAGAAATTCGGGTTTTAAGACACTATTTTTTACTTGAGAAATAAGTTTATGGGCGCCGCCATTTTGGCGTTCTGTCATTCTCGCGAGACAGACGAGACTGAGATTGTGGCGTGTTATACCCACTTCCGGTATAGGTGTACACGCTGGTACAACTGAAATATATCTTAATGAAGAACTTATTAATTTTATTGCGTACATTATATATTATTTATGAAAACATCATATGGAACTGAATTGCTTTAATTAATTAATTGAAGACGCCGCGACATTAATTATCATTTGTCCGATATTCAAGCTTGCTGATGATCCCACCACATGATTTAAGCAATGACTGCTTAATTTTCAAAGATAAACAATAAATTCAATTTTGGTACTATGAAAAACTTCTTCAAATTGACGATATATCCTTTTATTTTGTACTTAATTTTCGCTAGACAAGCTGTCCAAATAGGGGACATCACCGGTCATGTATCTTTTTTAAAGTTAAATATCAACTAAATCCAATATGCTGAGGACGCGATTTTCCGCCATTGACACTAAAAATGAGAATGGCGCAGGAAAATCGGCAGCCAGACTAATATCGTATGAAAACAAAACTGTCCGTTAGGTTATTTAGGCACCCAGTCAAAACTGGTACCAACAGCAACAGGTTGCCCATTCCCCTACAATTACGCATATTCTCGGGTTTATCCAGTTCCCTAAAGCTTTTTTCCACGTTATCTACTTACCAAATTCCTTTCCCCAACAGATACGCATTTCTACTACCGTAAATTTAATCCAATAAAACAAAAAATCATAAATCTACATAATATTGAAAATGATTATTGATAACTGAAAAAAATGTGTTGCTATTTTATGATGTGCTGTAATTTACTGACAGGTGTGGAACCTAATTCCCCCTAAGGTCATTCAGTTCACTGATGAAGCGTAAAAAAAATAGATGTCTATTTCGTCATTGGAATATTTGACAAGGGTGATTAACCAATCAGGGCAACATTGTGCATGATCAAAAGGTCTGTCGGCACAGAGGCATACAAGGAGCAATAAAAATCGTCAGTACACAGTGTGACAGGAACATTTGGTGCAAATTAGGAACAATTAAAATGGACAATGCGCAGTATTAGACATAAGTAGTAAGAACCAGCAATTGTGTGAATAAATTATTCAAATTAGATTTTTGAGCAGCCAATAAAAATGATTTGCCTGCAGTGAATATTAGGCTACGATAACGATGCCCAGCATCATACGTTGACATGTAGACATGTTAACAATTTACTTTTCAAAAGAGTTGCTTATATTTTTGAAATGCGTACATCAATTATAACATATGTTCACACCTTTAAATTTGAAAGTCAGAATCAAACTGCAAAATTTAATTATATGTACTATTAAGAACACGTTTTAGTAGGGTTTTTATAATGGAAGTGGCTAGCGTACGGGCCCGTACGGCTAGCCAAAAGTTTTAGCTGTACGTGAGTCACGTACGACTAGCAAGGACACACTGTATATTGGCTAGCCGTACGGCACTTTTTCAAAATTTTTGGAAGTTGAAAATGCATATGTTATATTATGACTTTAAGCAGAAATTTTAACCAAGAAACAGCATTAATTGTCTTCGGATGTTAACTTTTTTAGAGATTAATCGCCTTGATCGCTATATATATATATCGATCTTTGTCATCGCAAGATGTCGAGAAAAAAATAGCCTTGGCTTGCATTTACACCAATTGAAATAGTTAACAAAATTTTGATAATAATCCTTTTTTGTTTCATTAATTTTAATT